TAATTTTCTGTAAATTCCACTTTTTACTTGGAGGTGTCTATCAGATATTCAACATATCGGGTAAAGCAGTGTCAGCTCTGGTTTGTAGTTGCGAATCGGAAACTTGGAGCAATTGTCTCAAGCTGATACAATTTTGACACAAGAATGAATGAACATAAGAAAGAGACACTAGGAGTGAGGAAATAAGACATAAATGGTGAAAATAAATGATAATATCCTAAATTAAGGTACCAAATATAGGAAATGAATGAGTCAACTATAGCGCCTACTATCAAAGATTTTACCTTCCACTCCAAGGCTCCTCCTCACTATCATCTTGACCATCATCTGTGTTATCATCTGCTTCATCTTGACCACTTTCTTTACTTGCACCTGGGTTGTTTTCCTCAGTTTCAACCTCTTCACTGTTTACATCATCACCAGAGACCTCACTGCTTTCCTCAGCAGTAGCAGATGGGATGACTGGGCTGCTCTCAACAATAGGGGCTACATCTTCGTTTTGTGCAGCTTCTTCAGGCATAGTCTTAACCACATTAGCTGCTCGCTCAGTTCCCACATTCAATTTCTCTTCTTGCTCCCTCAGCAAATATTCCTGTGAACATAACGAGTGTTAGATGTTTTGGATGAAGCACGAAGCCCCTAATTAGTGGTGTGCAAGAGAATATCTATGTCAGAAGAACAAGAAGGGGTTACTGCTTTCTTAGTAAGTGCTAACTATATGTAATCATCGCCTAATTTCACAGAAAAGGATGTGAAGCTACAACAATTTAAAAGAGGGTGGATTGCTTCTATATAAATATATAAGACATATTATCTTTGCTCCCCCACCACAAAGTGTTGTTGTAATACTGAATTGCTTAATTGAGAGTTTGAGACAGAAAAGATAAAATTGTATGAGGATCAGACTTGTCCAAACTACCAAACCATGATCAGTCTCCAAACTAATAAGCATTCCGTGAATATTGAATAATTCAACAAGTACTTTTTCATTTCAAATAATTAGATCCGGAAGGAGAAGTATTACAAACAAATCTGGGAAATAAGATTTCAAATTTCTTAAACTCAAAACTAAATTGATATTTTAAGTAATACTTCGTATAATATATTACTTCAGCATCTCTAAGTTTAGGTGTCCATTCTTAATATTGATTAGAATTTGTAGCGCACATACCTGAACTAGGACAACGCCTTGGTGGAAGGTTATAAGAAGTAGGAGCCATTGCCGATTTCTCGACTTGTCGCGGTGAGAACGGATAATGGTGAAGCGGCGGGTTTCAATTTCTCTCGACTTGCCTCTATTTGCTCTCTATCTCAGAGATGATCACCGGTGAGAACTCAGAAAGTCAATCCACATGTATAGAGTATCTTAAGGGTTGGAATGAATCTATCTGAAGATGCCAATGCTTTTTAATTTGCTATTATCATTTTATTGTTTATACGTCTTTTATGCCTGAGCTTCTTTTATGCGTCCCTTTCTTACTTTACCTGATGAATATAGGCAAAGTTTATCTATCACCTGCATTAGTAACTGATACATAATGTTATTAAAATTTATCAAAATTTTCATCGAGTTTTTTCATCAAAATTTATACATCGCACTTTTGTACAAATTGACTCATTAGGTCGTTACATTTATTTTAAAAAAAATTATACATCACACAGATTTATAAAATGTGACTCATGAAATTTTTACATCGCCTTTAATGCATAGGCGACTCGTAAGAGGTGATTTTGTAGCTCTGTTCTAAAAATCGTTCGAGGCGTCCGACTAGTCCCCGCCTAGGCGCTAAGCGGTGGCCGGACGCCCCGATTTTCGTCTAGGCGCTCCGACTAATTGATTTGCCGTCTGGGTGAATTAGTCGGCCGCCTATGACGCCTAATTGCCCGCCCAGAGCGCCTAATCGGCAGCCTAGGCCATCTAGATTCGCCGAACATTACTTTACTTTTAAATTTTTATTTTCTAAGTGATGTAAGTACTTTAACTTTAGCCACAAATATAAAGAAATGAAGTAGTAAATTAAGATAAAAACTATATATGTTCGTATATATACCTAAATTTTATTATTATTTATATTTATAACATAATGAAGTTAAGTAATTAGTTATCATATACTACGTATGATAAAATGTGATAATTCTATCATTCATGTTTGTTAACATATGTGTATATATGTATATTATACACACAAAAAATACAATATTACTTAACATATTTATGCAAAATATAGATAAAATGCAATTTATATGTCTCCGACTAGTCCCCGACTAGGCGCCCGCCTAACCGCCTAGGCGCTAGGCATTGGGCTGGCGCCCGACTAGCGCCTAACGCCTTTTAGAACATTGTTTTGTAGTGTACAATTGTAGAACGGGCTATATGAAAACTAATACTTTAATGGCTATGTGAAAACTAATACTTTAATGGCTATATGATGAATAATACGTATTCAATTTATGAAATAAACATTCGTACATTGATCAGATGTACTGAATTGCAATCGAATGCATGTAATGTAAATTTACATTAAAAAATCGTAAATTTAAAATGATACTCCGTATCATTTGGCTAGGCAATACTAACAAATTCACATATATATAAAGAATACTAATATTTTTGATGAGGTCTTTAGAACTAAGAGACCACCATTACGGGACAAAGTTCTTACACAAACTTTTCGTTCTCCAACTCAAAATTCAAGAAATTAAACAAAACGTAAACACAAAATCATAGGGGTGGGATTTTGGAACCGGGAACCGTAGAACCGATTGGAATCGAACCGTTAACAACATCTAGGAACCGAACCGTTAACAATTAATGCCTCATTTGTAGGAACCGAACCGAAGCGGGTTATAACGGTTCGGTTCCCGGTTCCTATAAAAAATATGTGCTTGGAACCGTTAAGGAACCGTTATTAAAAAAATAAAAAATAAAATAATATTAGTAGTAGTAGTAGTAACAATAATAATAATATAATAGCAATAATAACCACCACAACAACAACAATAATAAAACAATATAAAATATTTAACTAATAATTCTAATTTAATCAACGGAAAAGAAGTAATAAATATTGTACATGAGGTTGATATAATACATTAAATTCATTTCTACAAATCAAGTTTTGTTCCATCACTGATAGGAACCCGGGCCTAATAGACTAATAATAATAATAATAATAAGGGACCGGGCTTATTAGAGTATAAACCAATAAGTGTATTAGTTAGTATAAATAGAAGAGAGCTGGGAGGAGTTAAGGAAGGCTTTTAGACATTTGGTCTTGGAACTGGGAAGGATACGAGACTGAACATCTCGACCTTTTGGGGCTTCGGCTTTGGGGGCTTCGGCCTTGTTCATTGTTTCTTTTCTGTAATCAATATCTTCTTGAATAAAATTTTCAGTTGATTTCTTGTTAATTTTCTGTAATTGTTCTGGAATTCTGGAGGCTCTTATCAATTGGTATCAGAGACTCGTGGAGACTGTGAATGGTTAGGACGAGGAAGAAGATGGAGGAAAGAATAGCAGAGATCGAGCGGAACATGGGAGAAAAGATCGATACTAGATATGGAGAATTGTTAGCGATGATACAAGCTGGATTCGCTGAGATGAAGGAGCAAAAGCGTGAGCAATCGAAGAACAGTGATCGATCGAGGAGTCGATCACACCGGTCCACGACTTCGCACCACATTGTTCATCGCCATCGATATACGATGAACAGTGACACTTCAGACGACTCGGATAATAAATCCGATCATTCTGTGTCGCACAGTCATCGCGATGAGCATCGCAATCAGAAACGCCGACATCCAGTGGGAAGAAAAATCGATTTACCGGTTTTTAATGGTAAGGATGTTTTTGGATGGCTCGTCAGGATGAATCGATATTTCTGGTTGAACCAGGTACATGAGGAGGATAAAATTGATGTGGCTGTAGTAGCAATGGAAGATCAAGCCCTAAGTTGGTTTCAATGGTGGGAGGGACAAGCTCCTCGCCTGAACTGGAAAGCTTTTACCAAGGCTATGGCAAAATGTTTTCAACCGGACATGGTGAAGGATCCATTAGGGCCTTTGTTCAGTCTTAAATAGAGAGGAACCACTCTAGAATACAGAGATCAATTTGAAACAGCCATGGCACTTCAAGGCCACTTGACAGAGGAAGTACTGAGGAGTATATTTCTTAAAGGATTGAGGAAGGACATTAAAGCTGAATTGAAACTTCACTCTGCAAAATCCTTAGCCAAAGCTGATAGAAAAGGCTTATGATAGGGTACCTCGAGAAGTTCTTTGGTGGGTCTTAACTAGAAAAGACATATCACGCAAGTATATCAGCATCATCATGGATATGCATGAGGATTGTACTACAAGTGTTCGTACTAATGTAGGGCGGACTGCGGAGTTCCCTATTACTATCGGATTGCACCAAGGATCGGCTCTTAGCCCTTTCTTATTTGCCATAGTTATGGATGAACTTACGAAGTCAATTCAAGACGAAATACCGTGGTGCATGATGTTTGCCGACAATATTGTATTGATTGATGAGACGCAATCAAGTCTTAAAGCAAAGTTGGAAGTTTGTCGACAAACTTTGGAGAACAAGAGTTTCAGACTAAGTCGGAGCAAGACAGAGTACATGGAGTGCAAGTTTGGTGGAGGTAGAAGCAGTGGTAATAGTGGAATTACTCCAGATGGTAAGGAGATACTGGTCAGTGATATGTTCTGTTACTTGGGCTCCAGATGGTAAGGAGATACTGGCTGTTTTGGCTGAAGTCACTGTAGATGACCATTTTAGCTATTTTTACATATAATTTTTTCTTTATTTTATTAATAAAATATATTTAAAAAAAATTGTTTCTTAAATCAGCAGAATCAGCCAATACAGCCACTTCAGCTAGAACTTCAGGAATTTCAGCAGAATCAGCCAAAACAGCCGATTTCCGTGCTACCAAATGGGCTCTTTAACTATGTTTATCGTTTTCTTTGATATATTAACAAGAAATATTTTAAATCTTTTTTTTTCTGTAATTTAACACATCAATTCATTAGCTCTATTGAGAATTTAAAACAAGATCGCCCACCAATTTGAATGTTAAGATTTGCTAGAATCTCACAAATTTCAAACCTTTGCGTTAATAAATGCAACTGTGCGAATTAAACGTTGGTATTGGAAACTGGGAAATAAATAAAAATACACAAAATCTAACACATTCATAGAGCTCACTAGATACTACTACTTGAGGTTGTTGAAGACTTGATCGAAAAACGACTGAAGAAAATTAAAAGACGAGCCACCTTCCTCCATAGCCTCTCTGCTGTTCTGTTTAAGTTCTTGAGCCTTTATTCTGGTAGGAGAAGCAGAAGGGTTGTCCATAAGCTTTCTGATTCCTGCCTCTATCACCTCTGCTTTCACAGCTTCAGGAAACTCTTCAGAATCAAAATCTTTTATGTAATCCATCTTAAGATCCACAGCCATTCCAATATCTGTCACCAATTGGAACGCATTCGCCTGCTGCTCTGCGTAAATCGGCCAAGTCGCCATCGGAACCCCGAACCACACGCTCTCGAGAGTCGAATTCCACCCGCAATGCGACACGAAGCCCCCCACGGCGGGGTGAGCTAGCACGGCGGCCTGCGGCGCCCATCCAATCACTTTTCCGATGTCTTTCGTCCTCTCCAAGAAACCTTCCGGCAGGGCTTCCTCGGGGCGGTTGAAGTCGGTGGGGTAGACCGCGCCTTTTGCCGGCGGCTTCCTCAGGGCCCACAGGAACCTGTGGCCGCTCCGCTCTAGTGCGGACGCGATCTCCTTCACCTGAGGCTCCGGGAAACTGCCGCCGCTTCCGAAGCAGAGGAAGACGACGGAGGAATCCGGTTGGCTGCTAAGCCATTCCAATATCTCTTCGCCGGATTCTCCGATCTTATCGCTTTGCAGGTTCAGTATGGGTCCCACTGGGTAAACAGGTGGAATCTTTATCCCCTTGTATTTGGACAGAGATTCCATCGCGTGCCCCTCAAGCTCGGAGAACGTGTTGACCATTATGCCCTTCGCCTCTCGGATTTTCCTGCCAAAATCAAGGAACATATCCGCCCCGCCGCCGGTCTTGTCCAGCACAACTCCGGGAATAAGCTTTGCCGGATAAGGTTTAGAATACACCGGGATTTCCAGGTCTGGGTCGGAACCCTTGAATTCGGTGACGTCCTTTCCGTCTTCGTCTCTGAGACTCTGTAAATAGAGGAGCATCCCGAGCGTGCCGGCGCCGGAGGTGAAGAAGACGTACGCCGGAATTCCGAACTCGTCGGCCAAGTCCATCAAGTCAACACAGAACATGTCCAAAACGATGCCGGCGAGCCTGCCGGAACCCAAACTCGCCTTGGTTTGGATTTCTTTAACGACTTCTCTGGCGCTCTGTTTGTGAGATTCGACGAAGGTACGGAAAAAGGTGACCGATTTGGTGTTATCCGCCGTGGTCGAAGCAGAGAGAAGAACAGGCTTCAGCCTGGAAGAGGATCCCTCATTCTCTGCAACAAGAGAATCGATGTAGAGGGTAAGCTTGGAATCGAAGGGAACTTTCATGATCAAGACGGAGATGGAGAGATCGTGACGGGGGCATTTCTGGAGGAGGAGCTTTGCCAATTCTACGGTGGCGATAAGGTGGCCAACTGCAGGGCCCGGAATGAAAACCAGCTCGACACCTCCTTTCATATTTGCTTGACGCTAGATTTACTAGTGGCGAGGACTATTAAGGAATTGAATGAATGATTGAAGTGTGATATTCCATAACATTATGACTGACATATATAGTATGGTAGATCCACTTGTTTATGGAGAGGGCAGTTTGAATGATTGAATGGAGGCAGAAGTGGTTTGATTTTTATTTGACTTGGTACTCTGCATTAAAAGAGGAACAGCAAACTTTGCTTCGAGATAAATCTTGACGTCATGGCTTTGCTAATTAAACTCTTGACGTCATGGCTTCGCTGGAACTTTTTGCCATTTGGTATGTTGGGTGCGTGGAATCTCCACCGGGATTTTTATGCACTGGGCAAAAACTAAATTATATCTTCATGTTGGTGAAAATTGTTGAGACCTCGGTTTTTTAGGTCCTTTTTAGGTCCTAGAATTCGAGCCCGTTTGGTAGCACCAAAATCGGCTGTTTTGACTGATTCTGCTGAAATTTATGATATTCTGGCTGGAGTGGCTGTTTTGGCTGATTCTGCTGATTTAAGAAAAAAATATTTTAAAAATATATTTTATTAATAAATTAAAGAAAAAATTATATGTAAAAATAGCTAAAATGGTCCTCTACAGTAACTTCAGCCAATACAGCCAGAAAAGTAACTCCAACCTTACTTTTTCGGCTTATTACACAATTCAGCGCGCGAAAGTAAAAGTTACGTGTTTGGTGAAAAAGCTGACTGATAAGCCTGATAAGCCGAAAACAGAGTTCTCCAAACGGGCTCTTCATATTTTTTGGTCAGACCTGGTTTTTTTTTTTTTTTTTTTTTTTTGAAACTTGGTCAGACCTCAATGAACTGGGCTTTTTAATTTGTCTTTTTTAATCTTATTCTCTTTTCACCATACCCATTCATTGCAAATCCATAAATAATGGCATTTCAACACATAACATCTCTCTCAGGCATTCCATCGAACAGTTTTTGGGCTAAATTCGAACACCCACATTTTGCACACACATCAACAAGAGCCAAGCCTAACCCCACATTCATGGGAATGCCCAAATTTTCCACATATCTGTGCACCCATTTGCCAATGTTAATTGAACCCAGGTGGCAGGTGGGCACAAGCTGAGAATATGCTGACCAGAATCATCTTATCAGGCTCAACCCCAGTCATCTGCATTAGCCTAAACAACTGCAACCCTTTATTTTAATTAATTGTTCTGTACATACCCAGATATCATGGACCCCCACACTCCTCTATCCTTCACTGGCGTCTCATCTAAAACCGGGGTGTTTACGGAAAACAGCACATTTTTTACATTGTATTCCAACAAGTGCAATTTTTTTGACGTTTTCTGAGAGAGTGCAAAACGGAGTTGGTAGATCCGAATTCATCTTGTCAGTACAAACTGGTTTTCGGAGTTACCAAGCTCGAAAATTGACTCCGAAAAAAATGGTGGGAGGCCATTTTCGGAGTTGGCAAAGCCGAAAGTAGAAGTACTTTTTTGTTGCGTTTAATATGGTGGGAGGCCTACGAATTGTTTGTTGTGTTTGTTTTTGTGTTTTGAACTTTTTTTTATAATTCTTGTTCAATATAATTTAAGTTGAATTTTTTATATTTTTTAATATAATTCTTGAACTTTTTTTGTGTTTGTTTTAGTAATTTCTTATATTTTGTTCAATATAATTAAAAATCATACAATATTTGTATTTTAAGTTGAATTTGCGTCCGATTCCCGATTTAGATAAAAACATGTGTTTTACAAAAATTTGACCCATTAAAATAAATTAGCACACGTTTTACAAAAGTGACTCATTAAATGTTTTGAGCACAAATAGTAAAAAATTTGTTACATTTACATTAACAAAATAATTTTTTGAACGTAATTCATATTAAAAGTATCAATATGTTAATATATTTACAAGAACAAACTACATTGATCAAAAGTATCAATATATTAAATCAATGTGACGATTTTTAAAAATAGTTGACCCATTCAATGTTATGAACTCCAAAGTAAATACAAATACAGTTTACAATATAACACGTTTAATTTAAAAGTGACCCATAAAGTTATACGAATTCAAAATTAAACAAAGTTCATTGCTAAAGGTACACATACATAAAACATATGGCTAATAAATATTTTACAACATTAAAACAAAGTACAAAAAAAGATAACATTATAAGAGTACAAATACAAATCAATCATGTTGTCCTCTCCGTCTTGGACGCATATCCATCTCATTTGGAAATCTTGTTTCTTGACGGCGCCCAGCTCGAGAAGTTCTCGAAGAGTACTTAGGCGGTAGAAGAATGAACTCATTTTGTGGCCACTCATTCATATTCGGAAATGGCATGATATCACTGGAATGTGCATTTATGTAAGAACTCAGTTTGTATACCTCAAGCATAAGATAATCAACACGGCAATTTAGAAAATGGCACACAGAATGTGCATGGACGCATGGCATTCCGTTCATCCTCCAACAACCGCGGTCACAAACACGTCTGGATAGATTCACTGTAACATGTGTTGCATTTTCTATGGAGACCGAGTAAATTCCTGTGTAATGGTTGTGTGGAAGAACCACAGTGTGAGGTCTTTGTTGCCAACGCTCCATAAGCTCTTTCCGAATGTTGTCCGGAAAATGATATCCAGCTTGTTGCCACATCATACCAGCAGTACGACGTTGGGCGAAGAGCTAGACTAGTTTGTCAAAAGTCGCTCGCACAAGGGCACTGATTGGCAATGTCCTACATCCTTTCAGAGCATTGTTGAAACTTTCTGAAAGATTTGTCGTTAAAATACCATATCGACAACCACCATCAAAACAAAGTGCCCACTTTTCTTGGGGAATGTCATTTAAATACTTGAAAGTTCTCTCGTTAGTACCCCGAATTTGTTGCATGTACTGATGAAATTCACTTACAATTGGGGTACTTCCCGCCCGCCAACACAACTTCTTTAGTTGTTTACTTCTAAATTGGGTCATGAAATTGCTTCTAATGTGGCGAAGACAATAACGTCTCTGAATTCGAGGTGTTCCCAATTGTTCCACATTTCGAAATGCATAATCTATAGCCGCATGCCTATCGGAGATGATGCAAACATTTCGATCAGTGGGTATGATATGTGTCACAAGCAATTGTAAGAACCACTTCCAACTAAGATTCGTCTGATGATGGATCTCGAAACTCCCATCTCGGCCTTACCTCAACAGTAGGTTGGGTTCTCGGTCCTACAGTATCGGAGCCAAATAAGTCAGTTGACGTGCACTTTGTCGTGAGTGCACTCAAAATAAATTCAATACTAACACTTATACGTAGTATAGGTGAAGTAGAGTTCGTATCCACAGGGAAAGGAATAATTTATCTTTTTAACGAAAGGAGTAAATAAAGGGGGGTTTTGGGTTGAATGATTTAATTAAATTAAACACGAAGATGAACGAGTTATATGTGATTTAATTCAAAGATAAAAAGGACTTGGCATTGCTACTTTCCACTTGTTGATATATTTCAGTCGATCATTGTTATATCTATAACTTATCTCCTCTCGAATACTCAATCGAGGAGTATATCCAATTCATCGAGGAAAGTTATTAACAACGACCGTTCATTAATAACCCTTACTATTAGTCAAGTATAGAACAACGCCATATACCTACTTGATAGTAGCATTTAATCTCTTAACTCCTTGATGAAATCAATTGAGATTGATAACCTCAACACAACAGTTTCGGTTTAACCAACAAAATTAATCCCTCTTAAGTTTACTAACCACGACCGTGCATTAATAAACCGAAGTTACTTACTTGTGAAACCATCAACGATTAACCATCGGTTCGTTGATCGTTTCTAGTAATAATTAATATTTGAAACAAAACTAGTTGATCCTTTAAGTAATGTTCAAAAATATTAATATGAAATATGAATAGGAATTAATTAATACTCAAGGAAGAATATTAAGGAAAATGAATCCTACTACAGTTAATATCAAGATGTTAACTAATTGTCATCTTAGTAACACTCCCCAATATTAACATAGAGGAAGGAATAGCTATTATTAAGACCAATGTCAAGATGTTAACTAATTGTCATCTTAGCAACACTCCCCAACATTGATATAGAAATAGTATTTAAGAGAAGCATTAATATTCAAGGAAAGAAGTTAAGAAAATAACTCACAACTTTAATAATCAACAAGCTTCAAGAGCAACACCAAGAAATGGAAGTTTAGCTCCTCATTTGGAGACTAAACATGCTATAAAAATATAAAAGAAATACTATTCTAAACTGAGCTTAAGAGTATGGAAGAAGGAGTGATTCTTTGTGAAGGAAAATGGGGTTATTTATAGGTGTTTTTCAACACCTTGGGCCGGGTACCCGACCGGGTTAGGTGCTTACCCGACCGGGTCCGGTCAAAATCAGATATCCTCCACGTTCTGGCGATCTTCGGCACGTTCTGGTGTCCCGGGTCAAGTCTGACCCGACCGGGTCAAGTAGGGGACCCGACCGGGTCTGATGATTTTCCAGGCAGTTTCGGATTTTACATCAGACCCGACCGGGTGCATGGTCTAACCCGACCGAGTTTGTGCTCCTGGGCACACTTATCACCTTTTTCTTCACTTCAAACTCTTCATTTCCAACACCATAAATACTAACTCTACTTTCCAACTTACAAATGAAGATTAAAATACAATTACAACTAAAATCACATAAATGTTTACAAACTAAATAAAACGATAAACAATACATACAAATCAAACATAAAAACATACACTTATGCACTACTAATTAGTGCATATCAAACACCCCCACACTTGAACCTTTACTCGTCTCGAGTAAACAAAAAAAAATCCCCAAAAATATAAGAGTAAAGAGGGGTCTTCAACTCCATATTTCTTATCAACCTCATTTTTTTCGTTACCCTTAGGATCCTGCAGAAAAGAAAATACTTTCTCTCATTCTCTCATTTTGCCTAGGTGCCCTTTCGGGTTTTCATCCCAGCTTCCCACATTTTTCTGTTTCAATCCTCACAACTCACTCTTATTTTTGCTTTATTTTTGCTTAAGTTGCCCTTTCAGGTTTTCAACTTAACAAGTTTTTTTTTTTTTTAAAACAAGAATAAAGAGTATGAATGTGAGTATTCCATAAAACTCTCCCCC